AAAATTAATAAAAAATTATTTTTTATTAATCTCTTTAAAAAATTAAATTTCAATTAATAAGATAAAAAAATTTTTATCAACTAAATCACAATTCATTAAGTTTAAATTTTACATTTAAATGTACATACCAACTTAGAGCTTACTTAATATAGTTATTAAAATTTAATAGATAATAAATAATGGATAAAAAATAATAATAACGATCAAGTAGTGAGTAATCGTTAGTAAATAATGAATAATAAATGGTAAAAAAATATAATAAATAGTAAATAAGAAATTATAATTAATATAATTTTTAATCATACAATGATTAACTTGTTATTTGATATTAAATTAATAAAAGTAAATTTATAAGTAATTAAATATATTTTTTACATTTTACATTTTTTATTATTAAAATTATTAGTTTATAAAAATAATAATAAATATAATATAATATAAGAATATTATTAATTTCTTCTTTACGCGGTACGTACTAAAAAAAACATATCGGATGCTAGTATGCTATTAACATAACAGTGTTTTTAGAATTGAAGGTACTGAAATTACCAATATATACCTATTATTAAAGTGGGTTTATTTGTGAATGGTGTTTTGGTAATTTGGGTTCCCATATGCAGTTCCTTCAATTTGTGACTAACGTCTTGGCAAAAACCCTTCTTAAGTACTTAAACTTATCTTAAAATAGAATTTAAGCCCCTAAATTAAAAATGAAGCAAATAAGCCCTCCAACTCTACTAATGATGCAAATAAATCCTTCTCATTCATGGGTGTTCATACTTTTAAGGGGATATTAAACATGAAATACCGTTTGACCAGTTTGTGAGAAGGGTTTATTTGCATCGTTAATTGAGTTGGAGGGCTTATCTGCTTCGTTTTTAGTTCAGGTGTTTAAATGCTATTTTGGGGTAAGCTTGGGGGCTTAAGAAGAGTTTTTGCCTAATTTTTTTCTCGACCTAGCTTCTTTTTTTTTTTGTGGGTAGTCTCGACCTAGCGATCTGATATTCGCTGTCTCGAGCCAAAGAAATCACGCCTTTGGAAGGCTTCTACCTATAAATTCATCACTCAAATAGCGATTTTCCTTTCTGCAAAGGAGCTTTCTCTACCGGGAGGAGATATTATTTAGTGATTGACTTCGGTTGACTCGTCTTCACGAGTGCTGGTGAGTTTGTCGATCATTTTTTTCTTGTAGGAGATTCAGGTGTACATACTATCAATGTTTTTCATCATGATTTGAATACATCATACAAGCTTGGTTGTTCTGATCATTTTCTGGGTCATTTCTTTTGCTTTTAATTTCACTAGGGTTATGACTTCACCTCTGTGTCTTTGTTTTTTTTTTATTGAATCTTTATTTCTATGACCAGATCTGCTCACTGGGTTAATGACATGAGATCACTCGAATTAGTAATGTTCATTTTTTTTTTTTTTTTTTTTTTGATCTCTCTCTTTGCAGAAATTCAAAGATTGTCACTGAAGATGACAAAGGAAGAAGGGAAAGGACAAAAGGGAAAAGAACGGGCTGGCAATGAAGCAGGAAACAGACCATCTGCCGAAGAAGAGGAATCATCAAAACAATTGGCTGAAGAAGAAAACAAGGAAAATATGCACACTGGGACTGGGACTGCCAATGAAGCAGACAACAAACAATCATTTGATGAAAAGATGGTAAGGGAGGAGAAGAAAATTAAAAGCTTTGGAGATTTTTTCGCAGAATTAGTGGAGGTAACAAGGTGTCTTGTTGTTTCCACATGTATTAGTATAATTGTAGGAAAGTTTAGTGAATTTAGTTGAATTTAGTGAAAGTTTTTCTTTGTAATTAAAGATTTCTGTTGGAATTATATATTTATAGATTTCAGTTGTATGAGTTTATTTCTCTATAAGATTATTTGTAGGAAACAAAATGGTATCTATTTTGTTATGAATGATTGATGTTTACTTGAATTATATTACTAAAAAATCCTCATCTATTCTGTTTTAATTGTAAATGCAGTTGGAGTTAAACCGCCTGATGGAACAGATCAAGGGAGCAGAAGAAATGTTAAAGGTATGATCGATGATCTTTAATTTATGCACTTTCTATCAAAACCTAGAGGAGATGGATTGATGATCCATGAGATAATAGCAATTACAAGTAAATGCAATAA